TCGCTCTCTCTCTCTCTCTCTCGTGTTCTCTCTCTCTCTCTCTCCCTCTCTCTTCCTTTACTCACTTTCCTACTCCGTGTTTCTCTCTTGCCATTCTCATCAATGTCTCCGTTGTCCGTGTATGTGTGTGTGTGTGTGTGTGTGTGTGTGTGTGTGTGTTTGTCTGTTTGTTTGTCTGTTTGTTTGTTTGTGTCTGTTCTTCACCGCATTGTGTAGGTTCTTGACCTTTGCATGTGCCTTTGACCTTGGCGTGTACGTTCTTGACCTTTGTTTTTGTGTCTTTGACCTCCGCAAGTGTGTCTTATTGAAATTGTATGTGTGTGTTTTTCTTTGACCTTTTCACGAGTGTCCTTTGATCTCTACATCATTCATCATTGCCTTTCTCTCCCTGCACCAGGGTATAGGCCATGGACAAACACTTTCTTCTTTTCTCTCTCCTGGGTTAGCCTCTTGATGTTATTCCATATCTTCTTACTTTTCTGTACATCCGTTTCTGTGGATCTGTACACGTCTGTGTCTGTCTGTATTCCTAGGTCAAGGTCTGGTTCCAGAACCGGCGGATGAAGCGCAAGAAGCTGACCGAGCGCGCCAAGACCCGGATCAGGGAGGACCAGGAGAACAAAGACCACGAGCCCGGACAGCCGCAAGCCGCCCAGCAGACGCACCACCACCCCCAGCAACAGCAGCAGCAGCAGCAGCCGCCCCAGCCACAGCACCAGCCGCCGCCCCCTCCCCAGCACCCTCACCACCACCACAACGGTCACCACGCTACGAACGGACACCATCCTCACCCGCACCATCACCACCACCACCACCCTCCACCTCAGCACCACCCTCACAGTTCCCACGTACAACCCAAGCAGGAGTTGCCCTCACAACCAGTGGGCGTATAGCGACGTAAAAAAACAACAGCATACAAAAACATATAACAAAAAACAAACTTCTAATTTCTCAGTTCGTCATCGCTGATGATGATGATGATGATGATGTATCACATTATTTTACAGATTTACACACATCCCCCTTTCCCACTCAACCCCTTTCCACCCTCCTTCTCAATCGCCCGAGGTTTTCCCCCTCTTATTTTATCAACCGTGTTTCATCGTTGAAATCGGCAAGCTGAGCGAGCGGGGCGTGGAAGTCATCCAGTCTTTTTTGAGGGAAGAAACGCATCATTATTATTATTATCATCATTATTATTACCTCCTGCCCTCGATCAATGTCTCGCGTTGTGGATGTGGATGTGGATTTGGATGTGGATGGAATCCTGTCTGGGACAAGTTCGCCCTTCTTACCGCACCCAGCGTAAACCACACAACAAAGGACGCGCACAACTTGAATGTGTGTGAGGCGGATACTACTGCACCCTAGCGCAGAGCAACTTCTGGACAGTGACGCCATTGGCACAGTGACGCCAGCACAGGTTTCGGAGCACATCACTTTGGTTATAAGGAACCTCCACTGGCATCAGTAAAAACCTGTGGTCAACCCACCCAGCCACTCATCCATCCACACATCCATCAACCCACTGACTGCCTGAGCTCTTCATGAGGACCCCGGCGAAGGATTCTGGCAGGTTGTAGAGACATTATTGAAAGACATGTTATGCTACAATGTCTTAGTAACGTCGTCTCTGCTTTGTTTCTAAGTCTCTTCTGCTGTTGTAGATGATCACCGTGTATGATTTAAATGTCAGGGGAGATTCCCTTGAAGTTTACGCGAAAAGAGTTCTTTAGATAATGTAATTATATTGTAAAGAGATTTTTTAAAACTTAATGAGTGTGCACAAGTATTAAAATCGTCCTGTTTGTTGTAAATGTTACGAGTTTTGTGCGAATTATAAGCTTGTGTTTGCCGCACGCACGCACGCACGCACACACACACACACACACACACACACAAAAACACAAACATACACACACATACACACACACAAACACACATACACACACAGGTTGTCGTAAGTAAAAGAAAAAAACAAAACCCTATAATAATGAATGGGTCGAGAATTGATGTGTGAAAATTCTCAAACGATACGTGAACAATACGCTTATTAAAGGACTGCAATTTTAAAAGCTCAAAGCTCAGATCATTTCTTGGAGTCAGACCCACATCCTTGAATGGAAGTAACGGTTTTAGTGAAAGGCGAAGACAAGGTGGTGGACGATGTGGAGGTAATATTCACTACCTTCAAAATGAACCTGTTCCTGAACTGTCCCGGACCACAAGATTCAGGGTCATCCAAAAGATGAGAAGAAGTGAACAAGACATTATGTGACGTTATGATCACCTCATGAATTTGTCCGGATGCTTCTTTGTGGTATCCTTAGGTTTATATACCCCCCCCCCCCCCCTCTTTCAAAATTGGGAAGTTCTTCTTTTCGACAAATTATGACGTACTTAGAAATTGTCATTTTGGGACCGTGTACTTGTGGCCTTCAGTATTGTGTACAATTTATGAACATCTCTGTGGTTCTTATGGATGGAAAAAGGATTGAGAGTCACAGGCGTGATCTATGAGCAGAGAGACAGGGCGAGGGAGAGAGAGAGAGAGGGGGGGAGAGAAACAGAGAGGAAGAGAGAGAAAGAGACAGAGACAGAGACAGAGACAGAGACAGACTGACAGACAGACAGACAGACAGACAGACAGAGACAGAGACAGAGACAGACTGACAGACAGACAGACAGACAGACAAAAGTGAGAGAGTGAGAGTGCGTTTACAAAGTTCAGAGAACCACCTGGGATACACGCCTAGTACAGTATAGTGTGGCACAGGCACGAAGAGAACACGAAACAAAAGAACAACCTTACGCCTTTCCAAACAACAACAACAATAACAGCAACAGCAACAGCTAAAAAAACCCAACAACAACAACCCCCAAAACAACAACAAAACACACACAACCAAACAAAATACAAGACAAAACAAAGCAAAGCAAACAAGAACATTGATTAAAAAAACAACAACATCCAACATCTTTGCATGGCTTACTGCGGCAAAATAGTATATTATATATTTAAACTTTTGGCTGCAGATGGAATTATTGTGTATTAGAAGAATATTCTCCACAAGTCAGCCCCGACTTATCAATGTCTCCAAAGACTGACCGTTCTTTCATGGGAAAAGTTCACGGATATTGCTGGAACGCTGGAACTATAGCGTGTTGATTGTTGTAGGAGTAATTTTCTTATTTGGTCGCTTTTAAGGACAAGCGGGCTATCTATCCCCGATTCCGGGTGTTTCCAGAAATCTTGACCTACACCAAAAGTGGGCATTGCCCTACCTATAGGAAATGTTTGGTTTAAATTGGTATGTGTATATTTATTTGGTTATAGAGAAAACTCTCCATGTCTTTTAAAGAAACTGAACAATGGGCAAAAACTTTACAAGCGATTTTCTAAAAAAAACAAGCATTTTTCGGGATAGCCCCCTTGTGCTTAAAAGCGACCATAATATGTAACGAACGGACTGTTTCTTTGATGGATGTATGTATGTTTGAATATGGAATTCTTCATCCAGAACGATGTTGGTACAGTGCATGCTGTTTCTGCTGTGTATGGCGTGGCCTCTCGTCACAAGGTGCATGGTATAATGTTGATGATGTTGTTGTTGTTGTTCTCATTGTTGTTGTTGTCGGTGTCGCTGCTTTGGTTATTGCCCCTTATGACTTTGCTTGATGACTGTGAGAGAACAGAGTATGTCTAGAGAGAGAAAAAAATATCAACTTCTGAATAACTTTACTACTATCCCAGTGCGCGCGAAAGAACAGTCGAAGATCTCAATACATTATAATATTATTATTCAGCGTTTTGCGCTCAACACCACAGATGTGTATTTGTGTGCGTCTTGTGTATACCCTCCCTCCCTTTCCAACCTTTGCCCCCACCCCCACGCTCCCAGATCCTCACACATTTTCTTTCCCTATCCCTTTCAATCAATGCAACTCGAGTCAAACTTATTGTGGCGTGTGTTATGGTAGGAGGGAGTGATTGCAGTGTAGATCTTTTTGTCGGTGGGGCATTGTATGAACATTTTTATCGTTGTATGAACTTGTTGTTGATCGAGTTGTCTTAAAGAATACCCGCATTCGTTTGTTTTTCCTTTTGTCAATAGTGATCTGAGGCCTGATTTTTGAGTTACCGTTACAACTACTGTTAATGTGGCTGTGTTTGGATTTCTTTACTTAATGAAATTATTGTTACTGTTGCTGGCGTTAGTAAGGTGTTAAAATACTAGAGGAGGATTTTCCTAATACGCATTTCTTATGAAAGGTTCGGGGTGGTGGTTGGGTGGAAAAATGACGACTTCAGTTTCAAAACTAGTACAATCAGTTGTGATTTCTAAATATGACATCTCTGATACCATCCACATTTCAAAGTTTTAAGAGTTTTGATATACACAGAGAATTTATTGAATTAAAAGGTATGGAATTTCATGCAATTTTTATTTATCTCCTGCCTATGGCGAATTCTCTGCTTCAAGTCGGTGAAATGTAACAAATTAAAACAAATAAAAACAAACAAAAACCCCAAAAAATGTCTGAAAGTCTAACATGATTTTTTCTGAGTTTTATTTTTCCTTACTATTTACTGACCGAAGAATCACAGTGCAAATTGTCACAGACGACTATCCATTATCTAGATAAAAGTGGCCGTCTTAGACAGGTGGGCGTATTGAACAGTGTCATTAAAATACAAAAAGCGCAAGGGGAAGTGGGAAGTGGTCGTTTATAACAGGTTATTGTCTCGGCCAGCTAGCCGTCAAAGCAGATTCGATTGCAATATTTTCTACTTTTATGATACTTTTGTTTTACTAAAAATCCCTTTGAGTGAGTATGCATGTCTGAGCGCTTATCAATGGGAATGTTTTACAGCCCCTTTGACACATATTAGATCATATTATGGGAAACAGATTGCTTGAACCCTGCCTATCAGTGCAGGGCTTACCCGAGGTGAAAGGGACACTATATCCCAGGAGACAGATGGAGACACTCGATAAGAATAATAGATACTTCCACGCACTCACGTCCTCGGAGTGTAACAGCGAAGATCCTAACCACTACACCCGAGACACATGTGTGTGTGTGTGTGTGTGTGTGTGTGTGTGTGTGTGTGTGTGTGTGTGTTCTCCTCATCCACAAAATTGAAGTCAGCGTATTCACTAGAACTTTTGACAACACCCTTTCCCCTCCCCTCCCACACACACACACACCCGTACGTGGCGGCTGTTCACTTTAAAGTAGACAGTCGATCACGAGTATCAGAAGGCATTTCTTGATATCGGGTGTCTAAAAAAAAAGAACCAATTGAAATTGAAAGGCCACAACTCAGTTATCTTTGGGTGGATTTCACTAAAGTTTCTACAAAATAAAATTCAACCCAGGGGGCCGTCGCATTTTTTAAAGTGAAGAAAATCAATTTAGATGCTCCAGAAATATCTTACTTTTTTGTTGCTGTTTTTTAAATTTTGAACCAAAATTAAGTGAAACATTAAACTTTGCATCTCCTTAAAATCCAACCAAATTGTATAATTGTTCATTGTAGAACAAATTTCTATAAAATTGGCATTGCTAAATAAACTCGGGAAAGAGTGCGACTATTTAATTTTTTTCCTTCATTAATATTAACCAATTGTCTCCTGACACACTCGTATATGCCACTGGAAATTTTGAACAACCGAGTGACTGGGTCGACTATTTGTATCTCATGGTCTACTCAATTTCGGTAAGAATTTTTTAAACCTGATTTTTCTCCAAAGCTTTTATTTTTTTTTCTTCTTCAAATGGCGAATTGGATGCCCCTTTGTTAAGTTTTATTTCGTCGACGTTTTATTGAAATTAATGCAATGATAACCGAGTTGTGGTCATTTATATGGGTCTTTTGTTTTAGACTCCCGTTATGTGTATAGTTATGACATACGCTTATCTATTTTTATATATGTACGTGTATAAAGCAGTATGTCTCTCGTTTTTGATGATACTGTTTAAGTGTGTGTTGTTTATGTGTATCAGCATTGTGGTTTCGAGACTGTGAATAGATTTTTTTCGAGTTGTTAAAAATTTGATGTGTTCACGTGAATATAATATTGACGATTCTGTTTATGTAATAAAATGTAGGTGTGAAATTCGAAAATGTATGCAGTGCATACTTGTTTAAACCACTAATGTAACAAAATTGTTTATATGCGTCAAAATGTGTGTGTGTGCATGTGTGTGTGTGTGTATAATATAAAAATGTGTGTATGTGAGTGTGTTTGTTCATGTGTGTTGACATATGTGTTAATGTGTATCAATATGTGTGCGTGTGCGTGTGTGTGTTTGTATGAATGGATGTATATACTGAGCGTGAGTGTAAGGATGTGTTTGTTAACGGACGTGTGTTGATCTCATGTGTGTATGAGCCTAAATGCACGTTCCCGGCAGCATGTGCGACAACATGGATCTCAGGAGGGGACCGTGTGTGTGTATGTGTGTGTGTGTGTGTGTGTGTGTGTGTGTGTGTGTGTGTGTGTAAATGTATGTGTGTGTGTGTGTGTGT